AATATATACTATAAATCAAACCGTTAAACAATTCAAATTTAGAAAGAAAAAAGAATTGAAGGTGAATAAATTAATTCACTTACAGAAACTTGCATCATGGTCATGCGGCGATTAGAATCGGAGGGGACGGAAGCCGAAAGCAACTCCAATTTGTGCTTCTCCAACACAGAGCATATTGCAGTGAAGAGGCCTTGCTTTTTGACCGAACACAGACTGATTTGTGCCTCATCACCACAGATGTTCAAGTTTAGGTTTTCAGAAAACCAGACCTTAAAACCTACAGGGGTAGGGTTGGTAAATTCTGGAACTATGTTGTTATTATTATTATTATTGCCATAAGAGGGTTGATCAATCAAGGTGGGTTGTGTTGAATCCATGGCTAGTTTATGAGCAGTGATTGGATCCTGACTTTCACGTTTGCGCTTTTCTAATTCCTTACGTGCTTCTAGTTTTTGCACATCTTGCTGTAGGCCTTTTATCCAGGTCACTGCTTCATCCACAATGGTGATCTTGTCTGCCTGCAAGTACATACATATATATATACACACACACACACACACACACTCCATCAATATAAATATGTGTATGTCTACATATAAAAAACAATATAAGTAAGAATTTGAATATTGATATTCTTTCTAATATATAGAAATGTTATCTTTTTTCAAGCAAACAAGATTTTTCACTTTTATACGGTGTGACTCAGTAATTCGTAAATAATTAACGATAAAATTTAATGATATTTATGAATATTAAAAAAAAATCGGATATCTTAAGAAAATAAATATTATATCACAACGAAGATTTAATAATGTAAGTTAATTTAAATAATATATACTAACATGTATTCAAATCTAAACCAATGCAAATGAGGATTTGAATTTTGATATTGGTGCTAATCTTTGAGAATACTAACTTTTGTTTCTAACGGATGATTTTTTTTACATATATTTAGAGAATGTTGACTCCGTGACACGCAAATAGAGTAAGATAAATCTTATTTATAAGTATTAAAATGATAATAATCTAATATAAGAGTATATATTTTTTTCTTATTTCATGTGTTTTTATGTACATTTTGATAGTATTGACTCGATGATGCACAAATAAATTAAAATAAAATTTTTTATCTATAAGTGTTATATTAGGCTGACAATATGCATAAAAATATATATATATATTTTTTTTCTCATTTCATATTTTTATAAGTATCAAATTAGATTAAGAATAATTTACAAAATACTGATTAAGCGATAAACAAATAATAATTAATGATAAAACTTTTCACATTTATGTAAGTGCTGACTCAGTAACACGCATATATTTAACGATAAAATTTAATCATATTTGTGAATATTAAAGAAAAAATTTGAGTATTTTAAGAAAGTAAATATAATATTATAATGAAGATTTGATCATGTAAGTTACTTTTAAGAACCCATATAAGTATATTCAAATCTAAACAATGCAAGTGAAGATTTATATTGGTATCGGTATCAAAATTCAGATATAAACAATATATTCACATCTAAACAATGCAAGCGAAGATTTGAATCTTGATATTGATACTAATATATTAGAATTCTAACTTTTTATCTTTAGTTTATACATTTATATATGTATATATATATTCAGAGTGTGTTGATTCAGCGAAATCAAATAAAATTAAGATAAAAATTTTATATATAAGTATTAGAGTGACAATAATTTATGAAAACACTATCATTTATTCTTATTCATATCTTTATATTTAAAGAGTGCCGAATTAGCGATACGTGAATAAATTAAAATAAAAAATTTATATAAGAATATTATAGCGATAGTAATATATAAAAAATTTAGATTTTTTTTTTCAATTTATGTCTTTTTATATATATTTAAAGAATCCTGATTTATTATCACAGAAATAGGTTAAGATAAAATTTTATTTATGAATACGATAATGATAGTACTTTATATGTTAGAACGAATAAATATGATATTATATATAAATATGTATATACATACGTTCAAGTTGCAAAATAAGAATTTGATTTGTGATATTGATGATAATCTATAAATATATTATATTTTCTTCTCAATTTATATATTTTATATATACGATAGAAAATACTGATTCGATAATGAAAAAATGAAATGTAATTAAATTTTATTTATGGGTATCAAAGTGATTCTATAAATATATCGAGAAAATAATTATAATATTGTAATTACGGTTTGACGGAGTATCAACATATCTATTTCAATTTAATACGAAGAAATTTTATAAATTCATAATCTAAACTTTGTAAAGTATAATTTTTTACTGAATTTGCTTTACTTTTCACTTGAAATAATTGATTAAATATGTAAATCAAAATATGAAGAATGAGATACATGAAATCTTAAGAGTTGAGAGTTTTGTCTTGTGGCAACAAACTAAATTTGCAGGCTTTTGGTCATAAATCAAGAAAAGGGGGGGAATGAAAAACCACAGTGTTGCAGCCTATTCACCTCCAATTTTGAAGTTTTTTTCATTTAATTTTTTCAAAAAACCAAGCGTATACAAATATATATATATACACAGATTATATTACCCTTCGGATTTGAAAATAAAAACCAGATGGAGTACGAAGTTTTTGTTGGGCTTGATCTCGAAGAAGAAGAAGAAGAAGTGCAATGATGCGTGATCTGGGTTTGTGCTGTAACTTTGATCTATAAGTACAGGCATATGTATATGTATAGATGATGATGTATTGAAATTGAAGACGATTTTCAGGAGATAAAAACCTAAACAGGAGAAAAAGATGAAATGTCCAGCCCACCTTTTTCACAAAACACTCTATCTGCTCATCAAGGAACAAAAATGAAAATGGGGGGAAAAAAAGAAAAGGCTTTGAAGCTGCCACAGATGGAGGAAATTTTGGACAAGGGAAAAGCTTATGAATCTTTTACTGCATGCAAGACTGTAGACTATATACATGGTGGTCTATATGTACACACAGAAACAGGAAACATAAATGGAACAGTTACATTCAAAAAAAAAAAAATTAATAGGGGGAAAAATTGAACTAATTTCTACTAAACAACGCACTACATTCACAGATACGAATTTATGAACATAAAAATACTATATATATATATATATTTACCTTCTGAGGAACATGACGCATCATGCCACGAGGGTTAGTGAGCATCAAGCCATGAAGGTTATCGAACATGTTCTTCATCTTCTTCCTCCTCTCTCTCTCCGTCCACAGATGACTCTCATGGTTTGCTTCAGTTTTGCCTTCTTTCTTCCCCTTCTCCTTCTCCTTCTTCTCATCGACTCCGATCACCTTCTTCCCTTTCTCCTTCTCGAGGGCGGCAGCCGCGGCGGCAGGAGCGGCCGTTTGGGGCTGATCAAGATCGGGACTTGGCACTGTTGGGGGATTCAGGCTAAGATTAGAGGTGAAGCAAGGAGGAGGAGGGGGAGGAGGAGGAGGGTCCATGGGATACTTGATCTGGGTTTCTACAGCGCTGAAATCAAAATTGAAGAAATCCCAGAGCTGGTTCTCGGTTTCCCATAAGAAACCAGATACATCCCAGTCGTCTTTCTCCATAGCCAGCTATGTATGTATGTGTATGAAAAGGTGTATGTATCTGGTCTCTCAAAGAGAGAGAGAGAGAGTGAGAGAGGGAGGTTGATGTAGAGAGAGAATGAGAAAGGGGTGTATATATATATATATATATTGGTAATATATACATATATAATAATATGTATAAGAGAAAGGTAGAGACGAAGATACCAAAATACAATCATAAGAAAATATGCCGTTACTGGCCCTCAAAAACAAAAAACGGATATGTGTAAGCCCAAGCGCGTGGCATTTCCATTGCCCTTCAACAAATTTACCCAAATTTAATTTTTTTTTTAATTTAACCTTTTTTTACTTCTTCTAGAATTCACCTAATAAAATTTCACTATTTACCATTCACGCGTTTGGTCTAACGGTCATAATTTTTACCTTCTATTTAAAAATTATTAAATCAAATTTTATTTAAAATATATAATTCATCACTTTATAAATATATAAAATTAAAATAATAAATTTAGAACTTGAGAAATTAATTCAAAAATATTATTTAATTTATTTATTTAAAAAGTCTTCTTATCAATAATCAATATCTATTTAATTAAAAAAATTTATTGATAATTTATACCAAATAATTTAACATACGAGACATTTTATTTTAATATTAATGAACTTATTTTTTAATTTAGTACGAGATATTATCAACTATCAATTAACTAAATATTATATACTTTTATATATTTTTATAAAGTTATAAATTTAAATTATACTACACGAGTTGATATTATTATTATGTTATTACTAAAGTGTAAGTACGTGTGACTGTATAATATATAATTTAAAAAAAAATGAAATTACTTTGTGACATTTATTAAATTATTTTTTTAAAAATAAATTAATCTCTCCAAACAATTAATTAAAATATAATAATTAAATTTAATTAATTAAGATTTCAACTACTATAAAATTCGAGTTAATAATAATTAGCTCGATAACTATTGACTAATCTCATTATAATTTTATTGTTTATTAATTAATTACCCATAATTAATTAAGTAAAGTTATTAATTAATAACTCAATAATTAAATATTTTGACATGGTTTAATTATTAATATATCAATTTTATTAAATTTAAAAATATTTACATTGGCTATAGCTAGAGGACGGGAAGGAATATATATATATATATATATATATATTTTTTTTCCGTTAGGATATAACTTGTGACTCACCCTTAGCTAGCTTTTAACTGTTCCGTTAAGCGTTACATAGGTTTCTGCAATGATTAAAAAGTTAGGATGAGTATGTGTATATGTGTGTGTATATATATATATATATGTGTATGCATATATGTATATGCATTGAAATACAAAATGTTCAAACATCCATACATACATATATATATATATGTTACTACAGGGTTATTTAACGGAGAAGAAGGTTCAAGGATGTGTGAGTCACGCATGTGAAACACAAAACAAAACAGGCAGCTACTTATACGTGTGTGTATATGTGTGTGTATATATATATATATATACACGTCATGTGTTTTTTTTTTGTGAAGAACATAATAAAAATATGAAGGAATATACCGCTGAAATAACGGGAGCTGATGCTTAACCGCATAAGCAAGGTGGAAAGCTACTTTAACTGGCGCTGTATCCCAAATATTTCAGAAAATAAACTTGCTTATATATATATATGTATATACATGTATGTATGTATGTATGTATGTATGTATATATGTTCTTCCTCCCCTCGATGGATGTGTAAATGTGAGAAGAACAAACTTTAACTTTTTAAATAATAATTGAATTATAAATATTATTATGGCTAAAAATTCACTTAGTTATAGTTATGCGGGAACCGACTCTAACACCCAAAAATCGGACGGTCAACAATGGATCTTGAGATCCACCGGCCCAAAATCAACAAAAAAACCTCCATA